TCCACGCACTCTCACAACAGGAGCCCGAGACACCATCACCAAGGTCCAAGAAGCCCTGTCTTCACGCCAAGCCCATCGCTTCGAGCCCAACCTGCCTTTCCAGTTCGTCATTCTGGGAAAAGCACCCCAGTTCTACGGACTGATTTTCCAATAGGATCCTCAACTTCGAGACCCTTTATTGATACTGGAATGGATCTTTACAAACAACCAACCTTCAAAGACAATTACCACCTTCCAAGAAATCATGGGACATCTAATAAAAAAAGCCAGAACTCACCTCCGCTCTCTTGCAGGGTGTGAGTTCACATGCATGTACGTGCCACTGACCACTGGGGACCTGGAGCATTTGCTCCAGACCAATGAAAATCTCCAGTTCACCCTTGATAGCTATACAGGCCAAATTTCCATCCATATCCCAAAACATAAACTTTTTAATGGTGATGTAGTCTTTAATCTGACCCCAAAATTAGTCCAAAGTAAAACACCTCTCAAAGCTCTAACCATTATTACAGACGTCTCAGGGTCATCCCACAAGTCTGTAATGGCCTGGAAGGACCCTAAGACCCAAAAATGGGAATCTGACATCAGAATAGTGGAGGGATCTCCACAGATCGCAGAGTTAGCAGCTGTTGTCAGAGGCTTTGGGGAATTCAAAGATGAACCCTTTAATCTGGTCACAGATTCAGCTTATGTTGCTGGTATAGCTACGAGAGCAGAACATGCTCTTCTCAAAGAAGTTTCCAATCCAAAGTTACGCCAATTGATTTCTACATTAACACACTTAATCTCCCACAGAAAGCAACCTTACCATATAATGCATATGAGGTCACACACTGACCTCCCAGGTATCATCACAGAAGGGAACAGGAAAGCGGACGCATTGGCCATGGCAATAGAGACTGCTAATGTCCCTGACATCTTTGCCCAGGCAAAGTTGTCACACGCATTTTATCATCAAAATGTACCTGCCCTTATCAGAATGTTCAACCTCTTGAAATATCAAGCAAAATCTATTGTCGCCACATGCCCAAACTGCCAAAACTATCAGATACCGTCTATGGGGACGCGAGTCAATCCCCGAGGCCTGAACAGCTGCCAGCTGTGGCAGACAGACGTAACTTACTTCCCACCTTTTGGAAGGTCAAAATATGTGCACATATTGGTCAATACATTTTCTGGAGCAGTATTTGCATCAGCTCATCCAGGAGAAGCTACACAGCACACCATTAAGCATTTCCTCCTTGCCTTTGCCAACCTAGGAGTACCAAAGGAGATCAAAACAGACAATGGACCTGCCTATACCTCTCGTAAGTTAAAAGAGTTCTTCAGTGAGTGGGGAATAGAACACAAGAAAGGCATACCTGCAATCTCCACAGGACAATCCATCGTGGAAAGGACACATCAAACCCTCAAAAGAGTCCTCAATCAGCAGCGAAGACAAACAAAATACATCTTCAGTTGAAAGACTTTGCAAGGGTCTCTATGTCATCAACTTCCTAAATTGTACAACATCGGAGCCTGGCCCCCCAATACTTTGCCATTTCCCAAATACCACCCAAGCAAAGCTCACTGAGAAACCACCTGTGCTAGTGAAGGACCTAGAAACACATCAAATTTCTGGGCCTTTCCAGTTGATTACTTGGGGAAGAGGGTATGCGTGTGTTCTACTACTGTCTGGCCCAAGATGGTACCCAGGAAAAAACATAAAACCATACCTAGGCACTGCAAACACTACTCCCACAAACACCGACAAGAATTCCCTTGAGTCAAATACAAGACCTCAAAACCAGACCAGTTCTGCCTGGAGACGAAGGCGTCGCCAAACATCCACATACTGAAGACAAGACCATCCCATCATGTGACAGCAGACAAAACAGAAAGCTGAACAACATTCTGCTGCATCAGTCAAGCCATAAGCCAGAAACAGCCTGAACACAAATTGTTCTCTGAATTACATGTTATTACCCCTTTTACCCTAAAAAACCCTATTGTTCCCCTTTCTCAACTTTTACCAAAAACCCCTAATCTTATACCCACTCCCCCATCCTTAGCTTACAGAAAGAGAGGAAAAAAAAAAAAAAAAAGAGGGAGGGGAGGGGGGGAAGGAAAGGAAGAAAGGAACAAGGGAGAAAACCCTAACCCTCCCCTCGCACCATAAAGATAACAAATTTTGCTTATATTCCCTATCAGAAGTCCCATCCCTTTCCAAAGATGAAAATTATCTCCATTGGTGCTGTCCACACTGCTGCCTGGATGCTCCTCACCGTACCGTATGCCATCAGCTGAATTAGCCCACAGCCTAGCCATAATGTTTGGGTAACCTTAGCAAAGACATTAAAACAGGATAACATGTGCTTATCCATGGGAAGCCTTGATAACCCACTTTCCACATGTCTGGTAGGAATTCCCTTCGTAGCTGATGACTGGCCTGTCTATAATTCAGAGCTCCTCCACACCACAGGTGAGAGACCCAACCTGGTAGATACTTGGGACGAGTGGACAAAAATGTTGCCCGGTGCTCTAGAGGAACCCCAGGAATTGGATCTGTTGGGGTTTTCCAAAGCAACATACTGTGTCAAATTTTACTTTAGACGTCCGAAGAATAATTGGCCAGAAATTGACCAGTCAAAAAACACATACAGAAAAGACATATCACCCATTAACAAAGCCTATAACCCTCCTGATTGGTGTAGTTACGCTGCTCACGTGATCTCTGTATCCTCTCTCCACCCCAAAGTACTACCCAAAGGAATGTTTCTCATCTGTGGTGACCAAGTATGGGCTGGGATTCCCTCACGGCTCCAGGGAGGTCCCTGTAGCCTTGGAAAACTTTCTACCCTCACTCCAAATATCACCTTGTTACACAACTGGAAAAAAAGAAAGCAAATTAAAACGCCACAAAAGATCCTACACGGAATTTGATGAATATTGCAATCCCAAATTATACGATTGGAACAAACCAAGCAGGGGCAGAGGGGAAGACGGACCTCCTGAGGCGCGCCCTGGGATTTTCCCGGAGGAGCTCCGCTGGTCTCGGCTTGCCTCCTGCGGAGACAGACAAGGACCTGCTAGTATGCGGATAAACGGTATGTATGGAAGGGCCCTGGGCGGGGGGAGAGAGAGCTAGGACTTCTGGCTAAGTCACTCAGAGATGTATGAGTGCTCAACCTCGTTCCTGTACCTGCAGGCAGACTGGCCGATGGGGCGGCTGGACTAGAAATGGGGGTTCACTATTCGATAGGGCAACCGCTAGCAACTCTGGGGGTGGGACGAGTGAACCTGTGCGTGTCTGTGGTGTCCAGACATTGTATGGTTAATGCGTTGTGTGGCTAATATTAGTGTGTTTGTAATTGTGGGAGTGCGTGGTGTACAAAAGAGAGCGAGCGAGTGTACCTATAGTGCAGGGGGGGAGGGGGTTCTATCCTCGACTGAAGCGGCCGAGTGAGGCCTGTGGCGCCGGCTGGGGCAGGGAGTGCCCTGCAGAGAAGTGGAATAAGTGGAGAAATGTGGGTGAGGACATTTATTGTGTTTAAAGGTGGTGATTTGTGTAGGTTGTGCACATTTTAACCGTGACTAGACGAACTCAGGAGGTTCCTCTGCCCTAGTAGTTTGGACTTGCCCTAGTAGTTTGGACTTGATCCCTGGAATTTTACTGTGTGCTGTTATTTTGATTGTGTCCAGAGTGTGTGAGGACCAGAGAAAGCTTATGTGGGTAAATGCTGAAGTATTGTATGCTGTGTTGTGTTGAGAAAAGTAGGCATTTTGAGACATGCCCCCTTTCCTGGTGAGTTTGCGTGGTTCCTCCCCCGCATTGTGGTAATTTCATTCTCGGGATTGTATGGTTGTGTTTGTGGAGATTTTAGGATCTTTTTTGCAACAAGCGTAGCATTTTATGCAGAAGAGCTACATTATGGTGATTTATGTTTAACTGTGGTAAAACAAATTAAAGGAATTCCAGGAATTCTCCTCCCACAGCAATTCAAGCCCTGACTCTTGTGAATTTGAGATGCGGGTGGGGGGGGCACAGAGATGTGTTTGTGGGCATATCAGAGTTCTTGCTGTAACAGGCATAGCCTTTTGCAAGGCAGTAAAGTGAGTATCAGTGGAAACAATGCTTTAATTAGATTGTGTGGGAAGAGAACTGGAAAAGACTGAGATTTTGTAAAACAGACTTTAGATAGAGGAGATGAATGAGTTCATTTAGAGGGGCTTTATCAGACTTCAGCTGGTAATATAGTAAGTGTGGACTGAAAACAACCTGCCGTAGAGGATTTAGAATTCCCTGGAGTGACAAACGGAATAGACTGCCTCTGTGGGCAATTCCTGGGATCCTTTGGTGCATAAGAGGCTGGCACCCTGCGTGGGTACTATTGCAGTGCAGTTTCTGAGAGATGCTGGTATTGCTGTTCTAGTAGGCGTCAGGGCATATGCCCTAAGCATAAATTGAAGTTTCCTGATCAAGCTGATTCAGAACCTAAGATCTTAAAGCTTGTGTGTGGAAGATCACATTTGATACCTGCCACCTGGGTGTATGTGTGGGAGGAAAACTGGGAAATGACTGAAGCTCTGTGAAGAGAGGTTTGGGTGGAAACAAGGTAGTATAAAGAGAAGGAGATAATGAGAACTAACCAGAGCAAAGAGGTTCCTGAACTAGCCCCTTTGGGAGGGGCTCACTGGGAGAAAGCCGCCAGTAGGGACGGCTCAGAAAATAAAAAGATTTATAATACCTTATTGCAGTTAATGCTGTTTTAAGACTGGAAAGCAAATAAGATGAGGTCTCGTATGCTGATATGTTTTCCACTGTAAAGAATCACCCAGAATAGTAGAGTAACTGTGGGTTCAGGGCTCCCTGTGACCCACTGGTGTTAGCTCTTGAAAAAGAAAACAAAGCAAAGACAAGGCAAATCAAACGTGTTTTTCAGCATGTAGTGTAAGATAGCAATGTATGAAATCAGACAAAGTTTATCATGCTGAAATGCAAAATGATTACAACTCGCAAAATGAGTACATATGATTTGTTAAAGGCTCCTCCTAAGATAAGGGAGAATGAGGAGGACCTCCCCAAAAGGGAAGAGGACTCAGGCTCCAAAGGTATACCCACTCGCACCCATCCCCCTCCTAGCAGTCCAATTTCATCCAGAACTAGGAGGAAACAGACCCCTCTGAGAGAGGCAGTGAGACCAGAAGAAAGGAAAAGGGTGGAATTTTGGTTGATACAGGGGCCATATATTCAGTTTTAAATAAAGCTTTAGTACCTGTGGAGAATGATTATGTTGTAGTGTGGGGAACAACTGGCCAGTCTGAGAAGGCATACTTTTGCAAACCTTTAAAGTAACAATGGGGTATTTACAAGTTTTTGTATATGCCCAATTTGCTAAACATTCTAAAATGGGGAGGTTACTCTGGAGGCAAATGATCAAAGGTATATAAAGGTGTTAGGCTTAACATTAACAGCCATTGAAATGAAGGACATTAGCAAAGAAATATTAGGACAAGTATTTTTGGGGGTATGGGCCTCTGGTGTACCAGGGAGGCTGAAGAATGCCCCCCCTCCCCATAGTAATCAAGCTAAAGGAAGGGACACAACCAGTGAGAATTAAGCAGTATCCCCTGAAAAAGAAGACAGGGAAGAAATCAGCCCAATAATTGATAGTACAGGATTGAGGGCTATCAGTAAGATAACAAGGAATTTGTATCCTGTGGTAGCAAATCCATATACTTTACTAACTTGTTTAACACCTGAGCTAACCTGGTTTACCATTTTATACCTGAAAGATGCCTTCTTTTGCCTCCCTATCCATGAAGCCAGCCAGAAAATTTTTGCATTCAAATAGGAAAGCCTTAAAAGCAGGCACAAAACCCAGCTCACATGGTCCATGTGCCTCAAGGCTTAAAAAATTCCCCCACTCTGTCTGGAGAACAACTTGCAAAGATCCAGAGTCCTGGGAAGCTCCACAGGAAGAAGGAAGGCTATTGCAGTACATGGATGATCTTCTAGTAGCCACTCGGACAAGGGAAGCACGTGTGGCCTGGACAGTAAGCCTTTTGAATTTCCTAGGACTCCAAGGATACAGAGTATCAAAGAAAAAGGCACAGGTAGTGAAACAGAAAGTAATCTACCTGGAGTACGAAGTCAGTACTGGGCAACAGACTTTAGGGCAGGCTCGCAAGGAAGCCATATGCCAAACCCTGAAACCCCAGGCAACAAAGGAACTCTACACCTTCTTAGGCATGGCAGGGTGGTGCTGGCTGTGGGTTTATAATTACAGACTGCTTATCAGATAGAGATCTCCAGTGGACAAAGGAAGCCACATGGGCCTTTCACCAGCTAAAGAGTGCCCTCATGTCAGCTCCAGCTTTGGGACTTCCAGATGTAAGTAAACCATTCTTTCTATTTTCCCATGAAAGACAGGGAATTGCCCTGGGAATATTGGCTCAGGACTTGGGTCCATATCGGAGGGCAGTTGCTTACTTTTCCAAACAACTAGATGCAACGGCCAAAGGATGACCAGGTTGCCTCAGAGCTGTAGCAGCAGTCGTGCTGAATATTCAAGAGGCACGCAAGTTTACTCTGGGAGAGAAAATGACTGTGCTAGTGTCCCACACAGTGTCCCCAGTACTGGAAGTAAAGGGCAGCCATTGGCTTTCACCACAGAGGTTCCTGAAATACCAGGCCATCATGGTGGAGCAAGATGATGTAGAGATAGTGGTAACTAATATTGTCAACCCAGCTTCTTTTCTCAGTGGAAATCAAGGAGAAGCAGTACACCACAATTGCCTGGAGACCGTTGAAGCTACCTACTCCAGCTGCCTAGACCTAAAGGACACCCCTTTAGATCATGGAGAGACCTGGTTCACTGACGGGAGTAGCTACGTTGCCAGTGGAAAGCAATATGCTGGGTATGCAGTGACTACATGCAGAGAGGTAATAGAATCTGGACCCTTACCAACAGGCACCTCTGCGCAGAAGGCCGAGATAATTGCACTGACCCATGCCTTGGAAATGGCAAAAGGAAAGAGAATAAACATCTATACAGACTCGAGGTATGCATTCGGAGTCGTGCATGCACATGGAGCCATCTGGAAAGAGAGGGGACTGCTGCTGACCTCACAAGGAGAGAACACCAAACATGCACAAGAGAGAATCCGGCTGCTGGAAGCAGTTCAGCTGCCTGGAAAGGTAGCAATTATGCATATTAAGGTACACCAGAGAGTGAGCTCAGAATTGGAAGAAGGAAATGAGCTGGCGGATAGAGAGGCAAAGGAAGCAGTGAAAAGTGAGGTAACTATTGAAGGAGCCCTAATTCCACATGGACAAATTTCCCTTGAAGGTAAGCCAGAATATAATAAGAAAGATAGAAAAGTAATTGAAGATCAAAAAGGGACATATAACCAAGAAGGGTGGGCTCCCATTAAAGGGAAGCTGGTAATCCCTTCCCATTTGTTGTGGTCACTACTAAGGGAAGAACACCAGAAAGCACACTGGGGAATAGATGCCCTAAACACATACTTGATTGAGAGAATCGTTGCCAGGAATTGATATGCCACTATTACTCAAGTGACCCGACAGTGTGATCTTTGCCTCCAGACTAACCCCAAAAATACCCTCAGGCTGAAACTCAGTCAGATTGGGAGAGGCCATGGGCCTGGACAGCAGTGGCAAATTGACTTTTCAGAACTCCCAAGAAAAGGGGGGTATCGGTATTTATTAGTACAGACAGATACATTTTCAGGGTGGCCAGAAGCGTTCCCCACCAGAATTGTCAAGGCTTGAGAGGTGACCAGGGTATTATTACAAGAAATAATACCACGCTTCGGAGTTCCAGCCACAATATCCTCGGATAGAGGATCACACTTCATTTCCAAAGTAGTGCAACAGATTAGTAGCCACCTGGGCATAGATTGGGAACATCATACTCCATACCGCCCCCAATCGAGTGGCCATGTGGAGAAAATCAATCATTTGATTAAGCAGCAGATTGTAAGACTGGGGCAGGAAGTTAATCTGTCCTGGCCCCAAGCTCTTCCACTGGCACTATTGCAAATTCAAACTAAACCTCGGGCTAAAGAAAAGCTGAGTGCCTTTGAAATACTTTATGGAAGACCATATGGAATACAAAAGGCAACGTCCACCCACATTGGGGAGGTAACATTGGCCACCTACATGGTGGCTTTAAGCAAACAGCTCAGATAAATTGAGAAATACGTGGCTGGAACTCAGAGCAGGGAGCTAGATGGACCAGTACATAACATACAGCCTGGGGATTATGTATATATTAAGTCTCTTACAGAAAAGACTTTGGAACCACAGTGGGAGGGACCATTCCAGGTGCTTCTCACCACCTTCACCGCAATCAAGATCAAGGAGCAGAATGCCTGGATTTACCACTCTCATGTGAAGAAGGCCCCACAAGCCCCTTGGAGAGTTACACCAGGAGACGATGAACTGAGACTAAAACTTACTCAGGCAAAATGAGTATATTGCGGCCAGAGGTAGTTTGTAATTTCATTTACAGAATTGTTTTGTATATAATTATAATTGGAGTCTTAAAATTAGAGAGTACCTCTATCCAAAGTGATGCTGAATGGCCTTGGTCCCAGGCTTTTAATCAGTATACTGGATCCATGGGAGAACCTTCTGAGATAAAAGATTTAAACCTATCCACTGTGGTAATCCATGGGGATCAGGTATATCAGGAGCAGGAGTGGCAGGAAAAGGAACTGTGGACACTTCAAGGGATCAGAGAAGAAATCAGGGTAGGGTGCCGGGTGGTCAATGGGACAGCTCATGAGAGACCAGATGCAATTAGTTTCTCACCCTCTCCTGTATACAAACACCAGGAAGTTTGTGATAGCCCAAGCGAATCAGACTGTTAGTGTAATTTCACCTTAATACAGCCTGTAGAAGTGACTTGCTTTTGGGCTCATGATGCTGTTGGGCTCTCATTTAAATTTAAAATAGATACTACACTTTTTAGAAAGGCAGGACCTTATACAACTCACACCAGTATTCAAGCAGTTCAGACCCAACTCAAACTTGAACCTGAAGTTTGTGAAATAGGCCCATACGTAGTCAGGAATGTGGGTGAACAACAATTGTTGTTCAATCCAGAATGGTCTCTCAAACGTGTTGAATTGCTAATGCAAATTAACATCTCAAAAATCCAACCAGCCTGCTCCTCTTTCCTAAGAACATTCTTTGAGGGCTGGACAACGTGGTTCTGAAGACAAGTATACCTCAAGAGCAGAATAAGAAAGGATCTAACTGGGATATTAGGGACAGGATTGGGAGTTTTAAATGGAATTGATTCAGAAATACTGATGAATAAGCTGGCCACTACAGCAGGTGGCCTAGCAAAATTGAAGCAGCCTTTACAATCATCTCTATTTGCATTAGGAACTAGCCAGTGGCAGATTTCAAAAGTACTGCCAAAGTGGGAAAAGGCCAGGGACCAAGACCACAAGCCAATAGTAGAAGCACTTAGTACAGTTCAAGATAATGTGTCTTTAGCTTTCAGTTGTATACAAGCACAGTTATGGATGCAGGCGACAGCAGCTTTGATCATATGGGAAGGGGGTGAAGGTATTTTTCCAGCTGAAATTCGGAAGGTTATCTGGGATAATGCAAGTGATTTTGAAAGGAAGTTTCAATCCTGGTGGACTATGGTAAACCCTTCCCCTATGAGATCAGGGTTAAAATCCAAACTGAAGGTGCCTCTTGCTCTTTGCACCCTTCTCCTATTCTGTCTTCTCAGTTTCTTCTTTTCCGACTGAGACAGAGTGGAAATTTTCCAGAGTAGAAATCCATTTTGATTTAGGTGAAATGTACATCTTTGAGTTAAGCTTTGAGTAGCCTGCAAACATAGCTGTTTAGTCTGACTGCCTGTTCTCTCAAAAACCTATGCTCAGAGAAACTGCTTCAGCTGAAGGACAAGAGATAAGGGGGGAAGGGAGGGGGGGCAGACAGAGAGGCTGCTATGAAGAGCAGGGCGACATGACCCAGGAGTTCTTTCTGATAAAGAACAATTGGCGGCAAGTGTCACACAAAATCAGTGGAATGAATATGTATGAACTTGTTGTGAAATTGCATGCATATGTATTTGAGAGGGAGATAAAAAAGGATCTGGAGTTCCCAGAGGTACGCATGTCATTTTGGGGGAACAATTCCCACAGGCGTCCAGCGCTGTAATAAACATACTGGCTTTACAACTTTCACAAAGTTGTGGAGTTTGTTTGCTTCAGCAAATCACCACCTCGAGGCTAGCCAGGAGACCATCTCTGTCCTCGCAGGGGCAGAGGGGAAGACGGACCTCCTGAGGCGCGCCCTGGGATTTTCCCGGAGGAGCTCCGCTGGTCTCGGCTTGCCTCCTGCGGAGACAGACAAGGACCTGCTAGTATGCGGATAAACGGTATGTATGGAAGGGCCCTGGGCGGGGGGAGAGAGAGCTAGGACTTCTGGCTAAGTCACTCAGAGATGTATGAGTGCTCAACCTCGTTCCTGTACCTGCAGGCAGACTGGCCGATGGGGCGGCTGGACTAGAAATGGGGGTTCACTATTCGATAGGGCAACCGCTAGCAACTCTGGGGGTGGGACGAGTGAACCTGTGCGTGTCTGTGGTGTCCAGACATTGTATGGTTAATGCGTTGTGTGGCTAATATTAGTGTGTTTGTAATTGTGGGAGTGCGTGGTGTACAAAAGAGAGCGAGCGAGTGTACCTATAGTGCAGGGGGGGAGGGGGTTCTATCCTCGACTGAAGCGGCCGAGTGAGGCCTGTGGCGCCGGCTGGGGCAGGGAGTGCCCTGCAGAGAAGTGGAATAAGTGGAGAAATGTGGGTGAGGACATTTATTGTGTTTAAAGGTGGTGATTTGTGTAGGTTGTGCACATTTTAACCGTGACTAGACGAACTCAGGAGGTTCCTCTGCCCTAGTAGTTTGGACTTGCCCTAGTAGTTTGGACTTGATCCCTGGAATTTTACTGTGTGCTGTTATTTTGATTGTGTCCAGAGTGTGTGAGGACCAGAGAAAGCTTATGTGGGTAAATGCTGAAGTATTGTATGCTGTGTTGTGTTGAGAAGAGTGGGCACTTTGAGAGATACCCCCTTTCCCGGTGAGTTTGTGTGGTTCCTCCCCACATTGTGATAATTTGATTCTCAGGATTGTATGGTTGTGTTTGTGGAGATTTTAGGATCTTTTTTGCAACAAGCGTAGCATTTTATGCAGAAGAGCTACATTATGGTGATTTATGTTTAACTGTGGTAAAACAAATTAAAGGAATTCCAGGAATTCTCCTCCCACAGCAATTCAAGCCCTGACTCTTGTGAATTTGAGATGCGGGTGGGGGGGGCACAGAGATGTGTTTGTGGGCATATCAGAGTTCTTGCTGTAACAGGCATAGCCTTTTGCAAGGCAGTAAAGTGAGTATCAGTGGAAACAATGCTTTAATTAGATTGTGCAGGAAGAGAACTGGAAAAGACTGAGATTTTGTAAAACAGAGTTTAGATAGAGGAGACTAATGAGTTTATATAAAGAAGCTTTATCGGACTTCAGCTGGTAATATAGTAAGTCTGGACTGAAAGAGTGTCCTTCTCAAGCCTGGGGTGAACCCATTTCACTGGTATCCTTCAGGGTCCTTTGTCTGTAATGACACAAGCATAACCCTTACCCCACATTAATAAATCTGCAGGTCCTTCCCATAACCCTGTCATAGGATTTGTAAAACAATTTTTCGGTCAGTGCTGTATCAATTCGGAATCTTGCTGCAAACCTGAGTAATGTGTTAATGCTGGTGGGTCACTGTGATGACCTACTAACTCTGGATGATTCATAACTTAAACTGCTTTCAGCACTCTGTCCTGTGGTGTCAGCCCATCCTCCCCTGTTTTTTGTTTATCAAGCAGTCCTTTCAGTACCTGATGTGTTCTTTCAATGATAGCTTGTCCTGTGGAGTTCACTGGAATACCTGTGCTGTGCTTCACTCCCCAACAAGGCAAGAAATCTTGGGTCCCTCGAGCTATATATCCTGGCCCATTGTCCATCTTGATTTCCTGAGGCAAGCCCATTATGGCAAAGCAGCCTCGCCAGTGTCTAATTACAAAACAAGATCCTTTGCTTGTCATAGGAGTGGCCCAAACCATGGCAGAAAAGGTGTCTATGGTAACATGAATGCGTTTAAAGTGACCAAACGGGGCGTAGATAGTTATATCAGTTTGCCATAACTGCAAGGGCCCCAGGCCACGAGGGTTGACCCCAGGACCCAATCTGCCAATCATGCCCTGGCATTGCGGACCGGTTGTGACAATTCCTTGAGCATCCTGCAGCGATATTCCAAGTTGTTTGTATAAAACTTTTGCACTTTTGTGAAAAAACTTGTGAGCCCTTCTGGCCTGGCCAAACTTATCAATGTTAGGAGAAGCAGAGGCCCAAAGTGGTGCCACCAGTTGGTCAGTCTTCTCGTTTCCTAAGGCCATGCCTCCCGTCAATCCAGAGTGACTCCGTATATGGGTAACAAAATAATCCTGCTTGTGAGAATTAACTGCCACAGTTGCAAAAAGACTTGCCACAGCCCCCGTTTTGAATTTCCTTCAGTAATGCTAGCTCCATGCGCTCGACAACACCTACTACATAGAGAGAATCAGAAACAGTGTTAACGGGATCATTTGGCCATTTTTTGAACACCCTGATAACAGCACGTAACTCAAGAACCTGTAAAGAGTCTCCTGGTCCTTCAAGGACTTCACAGAGCCATTTGCCTTTGTACTGCCAAGTAAGACCTGCTTTAGAAGTATTTTGACTGGCATCAGTAAAAACCGTGAGGCCTTCTACAGGTTGCCTTGATAGCCAAGGTAGTTCTTCCACTTGTTGATGCAAAGAAAAAAGCTTATGAGGGGGAAAATGAGTGCTAACGAAACCTGGAAAGTTCAACAATGCCCATTGTAAGGTATCTGAATTCTGTAATGACCATTGCAAATAGTCCTTTGTTAATGGGAGAAGAATATTTTGGGGTTCCATTCCTGTAATTTCCAATGTCCACTTCTGTGCCTTGATCACAATTTTTGCTATAGCCTCCATTTGTTCAGGCAAGGATTTTTTCAAATTAAATGGTGAAAACACCCATTCCAAGATCTGTAGTGGCTGTTTAGCCTGGCCATCCCACTGCATTAGTATAGCCATTGCGTGTTTTTCTTTATTCAACACAGCCACGAACAATGGCAAAGTAGGGGACCAACAATCTGCAAAGGAATATTACCCAGTTTTGTGGCAATTTGAGTCAGAGCCTTCTGTTGTTTTTCAGTCAGTTCGTGCAGCACATTGGCCTGATTTCCCCCTTTTAATAATGGCATTAGGGGCTCAAGGTCTTCATTAGTTATGCCACAAGTACTATGAATTTTTGAACATCCGATAAAGTCCGAATTTATGTACAAATAGTTAATTTTTGGGGTCGAATTTGGGCTTCAGTGATAAGCATACCCAAATATTTCCATGGGGCCTGTTGTTGAAGTTTTTAAAGGGCAATTTGAAGGCCTGCCTCTTGTAATTGTTGCTGTAAGGCAGGTAGCAGGGTTGCTGCATCTATATATTCTCCTGCTATAAGAATATCATCCATGTAATGATAGATAAGATACTGTGGGTATCGTTTTCTCAGCGGGACTTGCGCCCAGGCAACATACAGTTGGCACATCTTGGGAGAATTATGCATCCCTTGTGGCAATACAACCCATTGATACCTCTTTGCTGCCTCTGCCTTGTTAATGGATGGCACTGAGAAGGCAAACTTCTCACTGTCGTCCTCGTGCAGGGGGATTGTGAAAAACCAATCTTTTATGTCGATAATTAACAGTTGCCAATTGACAGGTAACATTGATAGCGAGGGTAGGCCAGGCTGTAGGGGTCCCATATCCTGCATTAAGGAATTAATGGCTCGAAGGTCATGTAATAACCTCCATGTTCCTGATTTTTTAGGGATTGTAAAGATGGGTGTGTTCCAGGGGCTCATAGAGGGTACGATATGCCCCCTTTTCAATTGCTCATCAACCAATTCATTAACATGGGCAAGCTTTTCCTTAGACAGTGGCCATTGATCAACCCAGATTGACGTTTCTGTTAACCATTTTAATTTTAGGATTGGCCACCCCTCAATGGCCACCGCTAAAAACCCTCATTGGTGAGACAGAAACAGAAACCCATCTGGCTCAATGCGTCCCATCCCAGCAGCCAGATTGTTGTATTTATCACGTAAGGTCTCACCTGAACACAGATGTGCATCTTCATCAACTCACACTGTTAAGAATGTTTTACTAATTCGAGTCATTTGCATGCCTCCCACTCCCGTAACTGGTGTCCCCAGGGTATTCAGAGGCCATGTTGCAGGCCATGCAAACAAGGGAACAATGGTGACATCTGAACCCATGTCCAACAATGTGGCTTTTGTCGTGAGTTCCTCCATTGGGGTGCTGAAAAGTAATAGGTTTAACTGGTTTTGCTCTGGATAATGGTAACGTAAATATGACCTGAGGGGTTCCTGTTAACCCAAAACCTCCATTCCTCCTCAGCATGACCCCTTGTCTAGGAACCTTGGCCTTAAAGGGAACTAACTGTGCCAATCATGTGCCTTTTGGAATGTGGATGGGTGGCCTCAACGTTTGCACCATTATCCCAATACTGCCTAAATAATCTGCATCAATTAGTCCAGGCAAAGCATAAATGCTTTGCTTTGATGTGGATGATCTCCCTATCAGCAGGGCACTAAGTTCATGCCCTAAGTGTCTGTTTGCTGTTGATGGGATGACCTGTGTTTGGGTGTTTTCTAGGGTTGCTTCTATTGCTGTATCCAAGTCCACTCCTGTACTCCCTGCT